GCGAAGAGGGACGGAGATGTTCACTTTGGAAATGTTGGAACAGAGTCACATCAGTACCCTCACCCCGGCTCTTGGACTCTGGTAGGTCAGCATCATGATCATAAGGGGTTGTTGGGAAAGTCTGCATGAGAGCTGTTTCCTCAGTTTCCTTACTGCATCGCAAAGGAGATTCCTCAGTGCCAAGGACATCAATGCGTTGCCATCCTGAGAGTCTATGCTTCGCTAACGAAACCTCGTACGCCGCTTCAATCAGCACTCGGCATTCGACCCCCGGCCTTTCACATGGCTGTGTAATTCCAGCCGCGTGTATTACCTCTTCTCGGCTAACGGACCGTCCAAACAGTACTGGAATAAAACTTGCCTCCCAAAGTCTACCCGGTCTTAGATAAATCAGCGAAGGATTCCGGCCAGGCTGGACCCGCCCCTGCATTGTGAGAAGTATGAGCGAGTCATCTTGAGGAAATTCTGTCCAGAGCTGTGGAACGACTGCGCCAACTGTTACCACTTCGTCATTGGCAAAAACATCATGCATTGCACGCCGGACTTTGAGACGAACCGTGTCCGGGGTCAGGAGCTCATCCACCCTCATCCCTGCTGCCCAGGTTCTTCCGGGTGCCCCTACATGATAGCAAAGCAGGATTGGCCAATGCTGATTGTTGAAGAGGAACGTTTCAGTAGGGAACTTGATCCTGGGAAAATGGTCAACCACAGTGCTGCGCACCCATTGTTGTTCAACTTCAAAGCTGAATCGCACATCTGGCGGAGGCACAAATTGGAAAAGGCTGCTGTACTCCTCAGTCACATTCTCCATGTCAGTGATTGGGAAAGACACTGAATTGCCTTTCGAGAAATGTTCGGCAGCATGTGCACTTACCAGATTGAGACAAAGAAAAATCCCTGTCCAATTCACTTTGGGTTTCGATCTTGGTCGCACCTTTTTCCGACTCGATCCTATGCATGTTGCTTCGCCCAATCTATCTCGTCGAAAGCGAAACGAAAGCCTGCAGGCGACAGAAAAGCAAACGCATATCTGCAATCCTGTAACGGCTTTGCACGCTAAGCTTTTGTAACTCAAAACCAGCTGGTGTTCACAACAGATATTAGAAACCGTAATGAACTCACAAATGCTGGCCAAAACTGAGAGAACCGTTGATCTCTGGAGCAGGGCTCTGCTCCTCCTCCGCTTGAGGTTCAAACGAAAAGTCTGTTTCCAAACTTGTCCGAGAATGCCCCAATGCATGCCGACGCATTGGATAAGCAAAACAAGGCCACAAATCTTCATGCAGTTCTCATTGACATAACTGAGTTCTGATTGATGTTTTTGAACATTCGGCTCAATCTCAGCTGTCTGATTGTCCTGCAAGAAATCAAGGTATTGTTGCTCCTTCTCAGGCAAACCGATGGCAGTTTTCAAATGGCCTGCACCTGTTCCAGAAAGCCTAACGGAGTCATCAAGAAAGGTAGTGTCTTTGGAGCCTTGGTGTCCTGTCAGCTGATTGAAAGTAGCGCCAGGTATCCAAACACTCCAATACTGATGGTTCCAGGAACGGAAATTGTGAATATCCCATTTCCTTTCAGCATCATCTAAAAAAGGAAAACGTCCGTAGAAATTCCTATGCATCATCTGCCAGCAGCTTGAGTCTAATACTGAAAAACGAAAGCCCACATCTGTCATCCACATTGAAACGGCGCCAAAATGGGGGGCATATCGCTAGATCAGTAAGCTTGAGCTCAATCTCATTGCTAGCTCTGGCTACCCTAACTTGTCCAGGTCCTGTGAGTCCGGACCCGGAGGTTCGGACCTCCTTGGACTTCGCTCCCTTTCGTCGTCGATGCGGAAAGTAGGCACCTGAGATGGCTGAGCAGGACCTGTTCGTTCTACCTGTGCCAATCTCCTTTTCCGCAAATCGGATGGGCTTGGAAGAGCAGCTGCTTCTGATGGCATTGGTCCATGTGCACCACTGCTGGTATATGCCTGGAACTGCGTTTGCAGTAAGGCTAGCATCTTCGCAGTGTTCGCTTGCTCTTGCTGTGCTCTGGCCAGTTGCTCTCTCAATTCCATATTGGTAGCTGCATCCATATCTATGCCTTCCATGCTCGGCACGGGTTTTTCTCGAAGGGCAGCTTCCGCATCGAGTTCCTCGATCTTGTCCGCCGTATTCTTGATCTCGGCATCGATGCCTGTTAAGTCCTTTTTGAACTTTTCGTGCTCTTGGTCGTAATGTCTCCTCAGTTCTTCTTTGTATGTATCCCAGGCCCGAGCCTTCTCGACTTTGGCCTTCTTTAGTCGTGACATCTTTTCGACCAACTTCTTCCGGATATTCAAATCCTTCTGCAGAGAGCGAAGTTCTTCCTTCTCTTCGTCTTCTGCATTCGCACCAACGATCTGCTGCACTGCCTTGAGCAGCCCACCTTCCGCAGACTCTTTGTCTGTAGTGGACTTCATGGCTTCTTTCAAGGCAGATTTCATCCCCTCCACCGAGGGCTGCGTAGACGAAGAGGAGCGCAAGGAATCGTACCCTGGGAAAAGGGACTTGTCCTCGTCTTTCTCTTTCTTCTTTTCGTTCTTCTTCTTTGGAGGTGTGCCCCAAAGGTTCCATGACCGGGTCTTGCCTTTCCCGGCCTTGCCACTGGACTTGCCGCCCCAGTAGCCCTTCCATGACATCCTCTGTGCCAGCGACAAAGATCGTTGTCTTGTCCAGGAGTGATGCCACCTCAGTGCACGGTAGGCCTTCTTGAATCTGTCCGATTCAAAGTCCCAGTTCTCCACTGCAGATCGTAATTGTATTCTGCTTCTTGCCCGGACCTTCCTCCTCCGTCGATGGGAGTTTGGGGATTTGGGCCACTTCGCCAGCTTGAACGTATACCAATCCCTTGCAGTACGGATACCAGTGCACTATGGCTCCCAAACGGCAAAGCGAGGCACGCGCAGGCCGAGTCGACGAACCCGTGTTGGGTTCTGGGGCTCAAAGCTACACTCGAGCCCTATTAGAAACAAAGAAAAAAGAAAAGGACGAACGGTCTAATATAGCTTGCTAGTAGGTTGGAGGCAATCGCAAGTAGGTTGGAGGCCATCGTGAGTCGAATCATGAAGCGCGTGCGAAGTGAACAACAATAGTTCCTAGTGGTGTCACACCGTGTGTTGATTCCGTTGATTCCGAATTCTTGGAAAACAAAGTTCTACCGATTCTCATACACAAACAGTATTGCATAGCCTAAGACAAAAAGACTGTCAAGTCACGAGTCACATTTTGACATACAAAAAGTCATAAGTTGCATATAGAATACTGTAATATACTGTAATTACAGTAACCACTACTTAACTACCTTGATCCTGACATGATCCATTGAATCCTGGCCCAAATAGAAGTCCCAATTCGTTGCTTCCGCCCAGCTTCTCAGCTTCTCCACTGCGAAGCGCCTTGACCATGGCCTTCCAGGTGCGCCGGATGAAGTCCGGGTCCACGAACATGGGAGTGGAGTCCTCGGTCATGCACCGGTCACGGCCGAAACAAACACGTCCACGGCAACGCTGGTGCTGCCGCCTCCTGGGGGGAACGCGGAAGACCAGCGTGGTGGTGGTTTTGCGAAGGAGGAGTGTGGTGTGGTGCGATTCCAGATCCGATGAACTGGCAATGAAAGCCGATTTCTGAGAAATGAGTTTCGGTTCCCTTTGAACTATATACTGTAGTTCAATGGCGTCTCAGTGTCGGATGAACTATAGGGAATTGATGGGAATAATTGAAATCAACTTTAGGCTCACTCTCTGACGCCTGACGCTGACCCGTTCACCCCCTCAAAAAAGAGCTTGGCTTCACCGCGCCGACGCAGCGCGGGTTCCCCGCGGTTTCGACCGGCCAAGGTGCTCTCCCAACGATCTGCAGGGCAGTCTCGGCATCAATCTGCAACGTGGGAAATCACGCGCAAATGCGGTGGATTCGCTGGAATTGGGGCCGGCATCTTTGATTCTGTGCTCCTGCATCACATCTTCATTACACTTGAGGCGGTCCAACTTTTTGGCGTCTGCACATTTGTGAGTCCCCTATAACACTTTCCCAATGTTATTGAGCTTTGAGTGTTCTAGATTTGAGTCCATGATCATGTCCACAGGTTTGGGACCCAGTCACAACATCACATGAACTCTGCCCGCCAAATTAGTTTAGCCCAACAGGATGTCCATCGCGTTCACATCTTTGGAGTCTCCATCCAGTCAGAACACCTAATCCACACCACACTGGTGCTCAAGCTCATCAGCCTGCTTTGTGTTACCTCTCCCCTCCACCATTTCACCCAGCCAGTTTTCTTCTATCGTGCAACAATTGAACTGCTGTTACTGCTTGCTTATTGCATTTATTCAAGCGATCTTTATATGATTGTCAATTTAATGAGGCCGCATCATATGATAACCCAAACCATCCAGTGACCTGTCCCGGATAGCATAGTTTTCATGACCTATAGGTTTAGGATGGTTTAGGCGGTTCAGGTGGTAGACCTGAAGATGGTGCCAATTAATTGGATGATTTGAACCTTTTCTCGAAACGAAAAAATCCATGAGGACCCCAACTTCTTGGAGGTACCGATTCTGGTTTTCCACCGCTTCGTGTCTTGTCTTCACATGTCTTCACCCATCACCCGTACTTAGAGTCACCCCAACTCAAGAGCCCAAGCTGCCTTTTCACGGCACATGGCCATCTCGTGGCAAACCACGGAGGCCACTGCGGGCCTCGAGGTGCTCTTTCAGCCGTCGGAAGCGGTACTTCACGTCCGCCTGGTCCGCGCGTTGGTCCGAACCCGCAAGCGATCCAGGTCTGTTGGGCAATCTGTTCGAGAAAACGTCTTCTTTAAAGGCCGCTCTGCCCTCCAACATTAACATACTCCAACCAAATATATAATAGCAATGGCCTCCAATGGCGAATGGCCAGGTAGACATGAAGCAATTCGGGAAGATTCAATCCGATCAGCCAACCATGCGGTCAAGTCTCGTCTCCAAGTCTCGTCCTTTTCACACGCCAAAGGTGCTGCGATTGCGTCTGCACCGCGCCGCTCTTTGGGTTGCACGGGCACAGCAAGTTTGACATGTGATCCGAAGAACGTACTGCGCAACGAACACTCGAGAAGAGCTGAACTTTTGGGTCCTAGTCCTGCCTGACTGCACATAATTGCGCTGAATAGCCATCTCTGGATCACTAGACTTGAAGACAACTATAGTGTCTAAAACATGAGAGTTTCTTAAACTGTTACAAGACCGCGGCCCAAAGGGGCCTCTGCCTCTGCATTATTCATGCACGCATGATCTTGCCAGCTCAAGCGGCTCGAAAATTAGCAAGGCGGATGATGGTGTGTCCACTGGTGTGTCCTCATCGTGTCCATCCCAAGTCCTTCAGCCTCTTTTGGCGACTTTGCCTCACCAACGCCACCAACTTCTTGGGAGAACCCTCCACAGCCTCTCGGAACCGGTCGAAGTTCACCACATGTCGAGCATGTGTCCTGAAGCACGGTGGACCTGGCACTCCCTTCGGCAAGTCGAAGTGGATCAAGGTGTAAAAGGAGCTTCTGGGTGTCTCAGGAAGGGGATCTTCATCCACTACACATGGATCCTCCACCTGCACCTCTTCCGGCTTCTGAGGTGCTGCCAAAGAGAGGCCTTCTCCTGGCGCCATGACCCAGGCGTCCACCTTGAACCAAAAATAGCTCGATCAAGATCGTTGCTGATTGGTTTAATTACCTTACTATTTTGCACATACACAGCCTTGGAGTCCATGAAGGGATGCTCTGAATTGACTCTGAATCAATATCCACCATATCCTGCCATCATCATGAAGCATCTTACTACTATGTCAATGCAAACGTGATGGTGTACATGGCAGGCGCTTAAGGTCAAGTTGACCCCCTTGCATGGTGTACCTGCTCGCAAGGTCCGACTTCTCGGAAGAACATGAAGAACAATGAATCATGAACATGAACAACAAAAATCACCTGACTTCAAAACAAGGTCTTACTTTTTGATGAGCACAGCAAAGCCCATTAAATCTCAACTTGTCCTTCTCTCACACCCTTTTGCAAGAAAGGATGCATATGCCATCATATGCCATGCCAACGTTCGTCTTAACGAGTCTTGTATTGTCTTGTCGCCAACACCACTGTTCCACGGATTAGCATCGTCACACCTCGCCTCCCGGCATGGCGTGGTCATGTAGATCTTGCCCAGCGACGGAGGGGCGGAGGGATGCGGCAAATCACTGGAAGCAACATTGGAACCAGCAGCACCCAGTTCAGGTGGTTACTGGACTGGACTGGACAAATATACTGGGACTCACTACCGGCCTCGAAGTATCCTGGACGTACCGTACAAATACCATTCGTGACGTACCAATACCTTCTGTGGCTCCAGTTTCCCATTGCAAAATTGCGAACCATGGCATGTCATGAAGTGAAGCATGGATGGCCGACCATCCGAATCGACGAATCAACGATCGGGTGGGTAGTATGTGGGTCGAGCATGAAAAACCCACTGATCCACTCATTCACTGGCCTGTGAGTAGTTCTGATGGTTGAAAGATGTTGAAAACATCCGGCGATCATGCCCTGGTACAGGAGATCTGTCCATGCGATCTTTGCAAACAACCGCGATACTAACCACGATATATCGCGATATAAGAGTTGCTGTCGTGCAGCCAAACACAAACTAAACATACAGTACCAGAAAAACTGTCCATAAATCACACCTGAGCGGCCCCGCTCGGTAGAAACTGCCGGGTGACCCAACACGAAGAAAAGTCATCCACATCCGAACCCACCAAAAACCGAGACTTGGTCGCCAAAAACTCGCATCCGAACGTACGGTTTACCGGTTTACCGCTAGCAATCGAAAAGCAAGTTTACCTCTCGGACCAGTCGAAATCCGGAGTTTGGTGCGACGAGTGACGCCTTGAAGACCGAGAGAGCCATGTCTCTGTGGGTGAACAGAAAGCCTGATGTAGAGAATGATGATGCACCCGGCAGATTCATTCATCATTCACCTGATGGAGCAAACAATTCCTACCAGCATCCAATGGGTGTCCGATGGAGATCCCTACAGTAAGTACTAAGTAGTGTAGGGCGTAGGGTAGTCCATTGGACGCCCATTGGATGCTATTGGTACATTCACCTGGATCCATAGGGAAATGATGATCCACCCAACTCGCCTTCGCCCTCCACCGGACCGGACAGCCTCATTCTCTGCAGCCTTGGGGAACTGCTCCTCACGCGGTGGAAACGCTGGGAGGAAGGTGGTCTTGGTCACCCCAACTTGGACGTTGCTTCCTCGGAACGAAAGCATATGCAACACTTCTGCCCAAATGGGGATTCACCTATAGAGGGACAAATCATCAAATCAGCAGCAACAACAGGTAGTAACATGTCCAAAAGAACATCATGCCACCTAAGGAAGTTGTCCAGTTGCAAAGTTGGGTCGGTTCCTTCCTCCACAGAACGAAAAGGCCTAGCTAGGCAAAGCCTCTTTTCTTGTGCGCTCGAGTTCAATGTCAAGTCTTTAGTTCCTGAACCTGTCTTTTTCCAACGACCACGATGGCAACAACGATCAGGGTGCACGTCGTTCGTGTGCCTCGTCTCTCTCTCTCTCTATGGATCTGGTCTTCCTTTGTCACGTTTTGGAGGACCCAGTGACTCGTTTTGATGCTCTTCGGGCTTTTTTTTGAACGAGGTGAAGTCTTCAAACTGAACACGGGAAGCAACATTGCAACATTGGTAGCCGCTGTTAGCCAATAGATACAGTATATGCTATAGTATGCTCAGCGAATTAAATTAGAAACGAAACACCCAGAACCATCTATTGACCCTCTTTCTCGGAAGCTTATGAGCCACTCAACCGATTTACCTCCATTTCGAACATTGGCCGGGTTATGAATCGGGACTAGATTAGCAGCCCAAATACTCCATCTAAGGCTTTAAGGCATATACAGTACCTAATATGTAGATTTACATTGGGCGGCGTCAGGGGTCAATAATACCTGGGATCTCAAGAAGTTTATTGATTCTGCCAGCAGCCGTCCGCAGCTTCTTCTTCTTCTTAAGATCTCGCCCGCACAGAAACTTTTGCATGCAGAAAGGAAAATAGTGTGCAGGTTCAATTTCTCAACATCATTCAACATCCATGCAGGTCTGTAGTTGGCGTTCCTCTTGTGGGGGTTCAACAAAAACAAGCCTTGTTGAGAAAACTCCTGGCATCCTTTCAGCCAAGAGCTTTGAAACAGTTGAGAGACGTTTGCAAACGATGCATTGCTTATACACAGCATGAGTGCAAGAGAAACAGCCAAAGGTGAAACCAACCAAAACAGCTGGTTGGCAAAGTTTCGCCTGTTTCACGCGTTATGTCTCCTGAGTTCGCGATATTTTGCACACAGCGTGTTCAAAGGTTTTTGCAAAACAGTCCGAGTGTGTTGTTGTTTTGTCGGACGTGTAGCCAGCTTCTAAATACAGCGCCTGATCCTGATCCCAAATGGTACTACTGGACAGACGACGCCAACCAATGCAATTGCATGCAACAACACAGCTGGGTTTGGCCATTGTAAGCCAAAGAATGCAGGTGGCACCTTAAGTTTTCCAAAAAAAATCTAGGAACCAAATCAGTAGTGCATGAGCTATCCTCCGCCCATACTAGTAGCTACCTACCAAGCGGCTGTACCTCCTCTACTCGCGGCCTACCCCCGGCCGGTCTGTACCCACTCTGATTGTGATCACCCCACGGGAAGCACACCACGAAGTGCCGATGTCCGATTTTTGGGCAGAAGATATGGCGAAGAAACAGCTTCTAATAACTTCTATAGGATTCTATAGGTAAATATGCTGCCAATGCATGGAGCGGCTAGAAATAGTGATGACCAGCCAGCCCAACGACGCCCAACCTTGAAGATCTTCCATGCTTCGGCCGCACCGTCAGCATCGCCCTCCTGCGCAGGTGATTTTTAGGTCACACAAGACCAACACGAGTTCTGTGCGGTGATTGACACAACTCACCACTCCCAGTGATTCTTGAAATGAACTGGCAAGACGATGGTATTCAGGAGACACCAAATTAGTTACTAGGCACATAGAGAAACTGCTCCATTTCCGCGCAAATAGTCCAAAAGGTTCCACCTGCAAGCATACAACAGCTATTGGAGACTTTTCATTAACTTTCGACCATAGCCCATCTACAGGGGTGACATTCAGTTTGACAATAGGACATCTTTACACGAATTGGACTAGTTGTTGAATCCACCTCCAACTGGTAACTCCAGCACCCAATGAACACACTTTTGTAGGTTCTAGGTCTAAGTGAGAGAGGTTTCTTGTTGGATTGAGAGGCCTTCTCCAACATGGGTATGCGCTTGAATTGGGAGACCGCTGGCCCAGACTGCTCTATTCTTCGTGTTTTTGAGGGCCCGTTGCGAGGCCTCCCTGCCTATCTCACTGTTTCGACGTCCTTGGCTTCCTCAGCATCAGCCAGCTTCATCTGCTCCTGTCCCCCCAAGAATGCTCTCCCGAAATGAACACATTGATGGTCATCGACACCATGATTTCTCCCCAAGGGAGGATGGCAAAGAAACATCCCCTGCAAGGGAGGATGGCAAAAGGAAACAGAATGTGATTGGATCAAACCTACCTCCACAGAGCATTCATTATAAAATCGGTTCATATAATTTCTCTGTGTAAATGCTCCACTGTTTTAGGATCCACCTTCCTGCTTGCCTTTCTTCCCACGTTGCTGCACACTGCAGCACTGCCCTAAATCTGCAGCCATGCATGCTACCTAGTCGGTGTTGAATGACCCAATAGAAGGTGTTTGGGCGTGTTTGGTGTTGAATGACTGGCAAACCGATACGGTTGGTCCTTCTCGATCACATTCCTCAGCACGAAAGGGATCATGCAATTTGGATTAAAACAAACTTTTGCTACTAGTAACAAGGGCATCGCTACTAGTAACAAGGGCATCTCTACTAGTAACAAGGGCATCTCTACTAGTAACAAGGGCATCGCTACTAGTAACAAGGGCATCGCTACTAGTAACCAGGGCATCGCTACTAGTAACAAGGGCATCTCTACTAGTAACAAGGGCATCTCTACTAGTAACAAGGGCATCTCTACTAGTAACAAGGGCATCGCTACTAGAAACAAGGGCATCTCTACTAGTAACAAGGGCATCTCTACTAGTAACAAGGGCATCGCTACTAGTAACAAGGGCATCGCTACTAGTAACAAGGGCATCTCTACTAGTAACAAGGGCATCTCTACT